CATCTTCGCTCATCATTCCGATTCTGGAGAAGTCAGGCATAGATTCTGAACAGCGAAGATTGAACTCCATGCCTGCTAAAATAAAAAATGGTGAGGAGTAAAGGGGAGTTAAACCTATAATTTATAGGAACCCCATATCCCTAGCAAGCTACGGATTCTATCCAAGGAATGGAATGATTCGCGGAGAGATTTATGCCCTCGAACGGATCCTGCATTAAAAGACGCATCTCGAAGAATATTTGGAAAAGAAGGAAAGTAGCAAATATTTCCATAAATAAAAGGGCCGAAGCCCATTACGAGTTTTTGTTTTTAAAAAAAAAAAGGATAAGTGAAGAAATTGGAGAACATTTATGGGAGAGGCTCAGGAACAGGCTCCTTCATCGCCGGTTTAGTCCTCGAAGTGGACGCCTTGGCATCCACTTCGGAACGATCCCGAAGGCGTTTCCGGCAGTCGCTGGCCTCCTCCTCCAAGTCCTTTTCTTCTTCATCGTCGGATGGAACGGCGAAGACGGGGGCGTTCACGGGACCCGGGACTCCTCTAGCACGGAGATACATCCGAAGCATCTTCGGGATCTCAGCAACGGAGTCGAAGTTCCGCCACTCCCATTGAAAGGGATCACTCTCCAAAGCCCTGATCTTTCTCTCCACCCGAGAAATACGAGCCTCGAGTGTCTGCCTTTTGAGGCCTAGCCGTTGCCTCTCTTCACACAAGCGACGGTGCTTGTCGGCGACCTAGCATAAAGATGAATGAATAAGATGAAACAAAGAGTTTTTTAATCAAAAAAACTTCAAATACTTACCTTGTCAATGAAGTCGCAAGCCTCTTTTTTCTCCTTTGAAGGAAAGTGAAAGACGGCATGAGGGAAGAGAACGCCGGCCGGCTCAAAGCCGTCGCCGGACAGGAAGAGTGGGCTGCCGGGATCAACGGGGGCTACTGTTTTGCTTTCCATTCTCAAAATATTTCTCAAGTGAGATTCTAGAGTCATGTTTAATAAAGCCTAGAGGTAGGTAAGCTTTTATTTATAATGATTTAGGGTTTGCCTTGGAACCATAAATTCATTAATGGTAGCGTTTCCGAGTGGATTAAACCATTTTTGGAAAATCGAGAAAAGGCAATTATTACATTAAAAGACGAGCCGTTCTCTTTAAGAAGGGAAAAAGCAACCGTCGCATCAACTGCAAAAGTTTTTAAGGCCCAAGCCTGACAAGTTTACCGAGTTGACTAAACCCGAAGTGGGGAACTCGCTTTAAGCCGAGCTCAGTTCTCGCATTCTAAAGAGAAAGGTCTGATCAACCTAAAAATCTCGAAAGCATTGCCACAAGGCCACAAAAGGTTAAGGCGGACTTTGCAAACCCGTATATAATTTTAACCAAACCCCCTTGGGTCGCAACCTAGAAAGGTTTAAAAGCCTCCTCAGGCAAATATCTTGTTCAAAAGAAAATAAAGCATCCTTAGGCAAAAATAAATTCGAGATTAAATCTTAAAATAAAAAGGGACAATCCCCAATTTAAAGTGGACACAGCCACTACGGAGCGATCTCCACCTCGGGCTCCTGCTCAGCAACCAGAGTTTCATTCACCTCCTTGACTGGTGCTTGATCAGATGAAGCTCCCTGACCACCCTCCGCGGGACGACCAACCTCCGGAGTAACCTCCGGTACCACAGGAGCTACGGGCGGGACAATGCCCTCCGTCTCACTTGAACCTGGAAATAATAATTCCAGTCAATCAAAGGTACAAGGTAAGAAAAGGTAAGCCTTAGGAGCCAAGCGTTACCTGCCCAGTCTAAACCCGATTCACTTATTGGAGGCGATTCAGTAAAGAATGCCTCAAAGTCAAGCGGGTTGAAGGCCGAAGTGGGAAGAGCTGCCAAGCGACTCCGTTTTTCAGAAAGGTTAGTCGACAGCTCGGTCCTTTCTTGCTCTTCGGAGAAATCTGCTTCATGGATTTGATCCAGCAGAATCAGGTTACTTTCGTGCTCCTTGATGTCTGACTCCAAGTCCGACCTAGCCTTCTCAGTCTGCATGAATCGGATGGCCCCTTGGATCAACTCCATCCCGCGTCCCTTGACCTCTTTTCTGGCTTTTGATGCCGACCTCGCCAACTCGGAATCACGCAATTTGGCGATCGCTTTGTACTTTGCGTTGAGCTCGATGAGTTGGTTGTTCAGGGAATCAGCGTTTGATTCGGACTCTTGAAGCCTACCTTGAATACCAGAAAACTCTTCCTGGAGCTTGAAGTTCTGGTCGTACTGACCCTGCAGCTCCCCCTTTACCTGCGCAAGTTCGGATGTTAAATTGTCGACTTTGTCCTCCAGCTCGTGCTTGGAGCCGGCAGAAGAACTGACTTCAGCCTCAAGAGCAGAGAGTTTCTTTTTCCACATGTCAATCTCCTTCTCCCGTCCGATGACCAACCCTTCGTAATGTTCGATCATGTCGTTAAATTCGCTCTGGGCCTGGCATTATACATGAACCAAAGATGGTGAGTCAGTTCGCAGAATGGCAATACAAAAAACGGAACTAACCCGAGATGAGTGGTAAGCGTGAAGCAAATAGCGTTCACGAATTGCAGGGCGCCATTTGTTGAAATCTGGCAAGATCGAACCCGAACGGGTCTTGAAGCATCGGAAGACGCTGCCTTCTGTCTCCATAGCTGCGAGGAAGGAAGAATTGTAAAAAATTGGAATTTTAATAAAAACGAAAAGTTGAAGTATGTAAATCGCCAAACCTGAAAGTGATTTGACTTGAGGGACAAGAGCAGGTTTTAACCTCGAGGAAGCATCTCGAGATTCAGATTCTCCCTTTTTCGGAGACGCACTCCGAGCAGTCTTTCCACTATCAGGTTGAGAGGAGGAAGACATATCAACCGGATGTGGAGGACCCATTGGTTCAGGAGGAGGAGATGATCGAGGTGAGCGGTCAGTCCGGGCCCTCGACTTTTCCCGCTGCGGAGAAGAATCGCTGCGAGAGGACTTGTCTCTCTTCCGGCGAACCAAGTTCTTAATTGGCTCGTTACTAAAATCATCTCGGGGAGGACGAGGTGAATCACGGCGAGGAGATTGAACCCTCCGAGGAGAACGTGAGTCGCGACGATCGCGACGAGGAGTTAATCTGTAGGAAGCAACAGATCGGGCTCCCTCGGTGCTGCCATCATCGACCAGCAAGGTTCTACTGTAGTCTTTCTTGTCTATAGAAGTCGCGAGGAACTTTTTCTTCTCCTCGCAAGCCTCAGCCATCGGCTTGGAAAGCAACTTGCGCTTGGCCGCAAGGGCCCGAGATGACATTCCTTGAGTTGAAGGAGGGGGAGGAATTTGGTGAAGATGACCAGGCGGACTCATCCTGAGTCTGTGGTTAGCCTCTATGAATCGTTCGAGAGTGAAGGAATTCCAAAGGGTTTCCCCTTCGAGAATTATTTTGAAGAATTCGATGAACTCTTCAGATGGGAGATTGGAAGCGATGAAAGCTGCGAAATGAAACGACGATGTTAGTTAATAAAGATAAAGAAACAACCGGGAAAGATACGGGCGACCTAATCTCTACCAGGTTTCGCCGACCACTTCGAAGGGAGGAAATCTGCAAGATTTCCAATCGAAGCGGGAGTTTTCTTAATCAAGAACCAAGGATGATGCCAATTTTCATCCTTGTTTGGAAGATGCGAAATGATGTTCCTGTTGGCGTTAGGATATGCTGAGAAATATCCCGTTTTCTTCGATGAGCTTCTCACGCTTAGAAGCTCATTTAGTTCGGCAACTCCGATAACGTAACCGGCCTCCGCCGCGATTGTTATAATGCCGAGAATAGTACGAAGGAGATTGGGGGTTAACTGAGGAAGAGCGATTTCAAGGGCCGCTAGGTATAAAATTAGGGCTTCGGGAAGAGGAAAGGTCAGCCCGCAACCCTTGAAATAAATCTCATACACACAGAAGTAACCATCGCGATGGTTCTCCGGAGATTCTGTAGGGGAGGCTATTTGTGTTTCCGCCATAATTTCCGGCGGGATCCGGCAAAGCTCTCTCAATCGCTCGAGGGATTGAAGAGTACAAGTGGACCTATAGTGCGGACCGGCAATGTCACCAGGGCGGGTGCATTCATCGTTACTAGAACGCCTCTCGTCAAAAGACGGAGACTCGGGTCTATCGGAATCAGAAGTCATTGGTAAGAAAGAAAAATTCAAGATCCGGCGAAGAAGGGTTTTGGTGAAGGAACGAAGAGAGAGGTTTTGATTAAAGTACAAAAGTAAAGGAAGAGAGTAATGGTGAAAAGAAGTTACCTCAAGCTAATGATGAAACCGCCTCGGGAGTCGTGTGGGTAGTGGGAAGGTTTTTCCCGTTTTAATAGTAATTAATCAATATACGGTCATAATGATGACAGATGTCACTCGGTTAAAAATGGCTAGTGCCGAAATTAAAGGAGTGATGAGATTTTCGGCGGGAAATCAGAAAGATTCTCGAGCGCAATCTTTGGCCACTTGAGCACTTAAAGTCCTCCGAATTGGAATAGCACTTCGAAGAACTTGGGGGGCTAATTGTTGGTGTCGGATCCCGCACCAGAAGTACGAGACCAACCAAAGATTGCCACGTAATCAGGATAATGGCCCGTAAAGGATGAAGCCCATTGGACCCGCGAGCCGAAGGGATGGACGAAGTGGTTGTCACCATTTAGATAATCCGAAGTGACTGCACTGTGACGCGAGTTCGGTGAAGAAGACACGGGTAAGTCGGTTCAAAGACATTTGGGCCAGAAGAGGCGAGGCCCATGAAGATCAGAGTCAACTCAAATTCAAACGTTGAGCATTAAAGCCGAAGAATCAAAACGGACACATTTAAGAAGGAATAATTGTACTTAATTACTCATTTTTAATATCGTTTAGCTATGTATAAATATAGAGGCCAATGACCATGTAAAGGGGATCTTCCTCTCAAGAGAGAAATACTATAGCAATTTCCGTATCAATTTACAAGTTTTTATATATTCATTTTTGTCCCTCAAGGATAATCTTTCTCACTTAACAAAAATACTTGAGTGTGTGAATCCGACATCCACAGTATCGAGCCAAACCTCTTCTTTTTTGTAAAAATTTGTATACTTGGGAACATGGGAATAAATTACAAGCCGCTTCATGAAATCACCTGACACAAGTCCAGTCCAACTTGGCGGGAATGGCTGGCCATCTCCATTACGTATGAACACTTCTTCCAGCCCCGGGCACGAAGCCATGAGATTATCAAAATGAGCATGACAAATTGCAACATCGCCGAGAGAAAGCGATTTGAGCGATGGGAAAATTACAAAACCCTTCTTCGTAGGAACATATTTAATACGACATCCATTGGAAAGTGTGAGCTTAACCAATGTCTTGCTCCAGAAAAAAAAATCTGCATCTCTATCTATCTGATGCCGACACCGCAAGTGTAGTTCCGATAAACCGCGTTGCATCGCGGTGCGAATCCAACCGTTAACACGAGGCTTTTCATAGCGGCCATTCACAGAGAAACTCTTGATGGGACATGTGCTTAACAGAGCAACTGTTTTGTCAACGAAATCAGAGAACAAGACACACCTTGCTTCTTCGTCGTCTCTTTCGGGGTAAAGAAAGATTGAGTCATCAAAGTTTAGGCTGTCTACAAGAGGTAGCAAATTCCTCCAACTCTTGGACAGAACCGATGTGGAAGCAGCAACTTTTGTGGGAAGTGAAGACAGTATTTTGGCAAGAATCTCATCTGGCAAACTGCTGATTAAATCTCTAGAAACTATAGAGACAGACTCGAATTGACCTTTTTTTCTGCCTGCAAAAGTATTTTACAAAATTACAAAGCTATTAGTTTTGAGAACAGAGTTTTTCTATTGCTAAACATCAGTCTCTTACATCAAAATAATACTTACGTTTTAAGATCGAAGCGAGTCCCATACAGTTAAAATTGAAGAAGAAATGCAAGCGTGGATAATTTAAATCGCAAGAGAACTATAGTGTTAAGGATAAAGCTGTGTGTTGTTTAGCAAGTAACAACCAAACCAACGTTCGTAAAACGCCAATTCGGATCCCAATCGAAAGAGCTTGAAAGAAGAAACAGCTCTAGCAAATTAAAAACCAAATTTCACAGAATTGAGAAAAGAGAGATAAACACTAGAACGTGTTCATGAATGAATGAATGAAAAATAACAAGGTTAAAGATTGCATTTATAGTAAAAGGAAAGCATTGAGAATTTATCGTAAAAGGAAAACACGATATATATTTCATGTTTAACAGCTAAATTTTTGGTTCATCATCTACAATGGCTACAAAGCAAGACATACACATAGCCATTAAGCAAGACATACACATAGCCATTGGTCTTAATAGTAAAAACCTAAAATAGTAAATAAAATGCAACAAAAAAGAGTTTCATGATTAGCGCTCTTTAACGAGATTGCAGAGCATTTTAGTAACAAATTTTTAACTTGTCTAGTCTAAATTCAAAAACAATCATTAAGATCATTTTAAAACGTGACAAAACTCAAAATATTTAGATTAACCAAACCCTAAGTAATGAAGTAAAGCTTTGTCTCGCTCAAACCAAACCCTAAGTAATGAAGTAAAGCTTTGTCACAAACCAAACCCTCGCGTCCTAAGCAAGAACTGAGAAGCATTCCAACCATTCTTCTCTCTATTTTCTTTCTTTCCTTGTACATCAAAATAGCGTAATAACTACATCAATTTCCTTGAAATCAAAAGTGTCTTTAATTTGAGGAATCTTGTTTCCTGTGTTCTGGGGTTTGATTTCTTTCTATCAAATATATAAATACAGCATTAGATGTGTCAGACGAGAGAGGCTGAAGTTCTTGTTCTTTAATAGTAGCATTTACAGGCTCATAAGTAGCTTCTTCTTGCTTTCTCCGTCTCCACACCAATGCAAGTTTGATCATCACAGAAGTAACAAACAACGATATCATCGCTCCTCCCACCACCCCGAGTAAGTGTTTCTCCCACCAGCTCCTGCTTAAAGCACCACGTTAGACCCGCAAACAGATAGAATCTAGTGAACCAGCGCGATGATAGATATGAGGGAAAAGAAACATACTGTTTCGTCTTTTGCTCAGCCTTCCATTCTAGTAACTTGTAGCTTCCAAATTGTCCAGGTAGGCGCAATCGGTTTTCCTTCAGAAGCAACATTATGTTCTGCAATCACATATAATGTTATCGGCCCATGAAGATACTTAAACCAACTATTATCATAGACCATCATTTGTTAGGAAAAGAAGAACTACCAATGCCGTCGTATTGGAAATGTACTCAGCAGATTGTGGGGGAAAGACTCCCCATTTCAGGCGATACTCATTTCCACTGGACGAGAAATTCAGCAAGCGAACCTAACAACAAGAGCCATTTGGATCATTTAATTTTAATGAAACTGCACCTAAGACAGCACAAGTAGTAAAATGAATGTTTATAAGCTTGCCTGTGAACTTTTAATGTCTAACTCATGGGCAATGAAATCAGCAATCTCTGAGAACTTGGGCTTTAATGTAGAATTGTTCACACTAATTGAAACTTCGAAGGTAATAACTCCAACCCGTAAAACACCTTCACGTTCGTAAGATATAAGTCAATATCAGGTTAACACCAAAATAGAAAAGAAAAGGATATTCCGATGTAGCCAATTACAGTGCTATAGATGACACTGATCAGACTCTGGGTAATAAGTAATAAAAACCAATTTATTTCAAATGCTAGGAGTAATTTTACTTTTTCATTGCAAGAAAACCAGACTTTTAAGGCAGGTAAAGAGTCTTACAAAAGATTTTAGCAAAAAAGCACGCCCAAGAAGTGTTTCGATTCAGCAAACTTTTGAATATTTTATTCAGAACATACAATGTCAGATATAAGCCATGTTCGTTTGCAGTCGCTAACGACCAGCGACTGCGACAGCGACCAGAAACATAGAGACATACAAGGCTAAACTACCTGGAAGATCAGTGGTAGGAGACTCGCTTTTAGCAGGGCTTGGGGAAATGTTAGAACTTTTATTTTGGGAAATTGGTGAAGTAGGTGCAGGAGATTCTGGTGCCGCCAGCCTCCTCCATAGATCAGAACAGTTGGTCTTCAGAAACCCGAGCTTATCATTCTCACGATCATAAGTGACAAGAGTATTGCGGACAACAATTCCTGATCCAAATGTTAAAAGTACCAAGTTTATACTTGTCACATGAAAGCCAAATCCAGCAGAAATTGAAATTGATTTGAAAAGACTGGAAAATACATGCTCTTCTTTGAAATTAAAGCATACATGATAAATGCTTTCATGGAACATGGGAATGCATGCAAGATATGTAAATCGAGTCTGCATACACTACCTCCTAGGAGTGTAGTTGAGTCTCTATCAGGAAAGATTCCAAGGCAGTATGCGCCTCTAACTTTAGTGTGCTATAAGCATGTCAGGAAGACAAATGGAAACTGTTAATATTTGCCTGAACGATGAAACAAGTACTTAAAAGAAAAGAATGAAGCCAATTTACTTTACCAAGTTATTACCCTGAATAAGTAGTTCTCGGGAGAAAGAATCAGTTTCTGACCATTTCCGAATTCCATATCGATCTCAGGAAAAAAATTGTGTATCTCAGCCACATCCCTGAATAATATTCAAAAATAGTATCCTTAGACAACATATAAATTTGAAGTTCCGTAATATTGATGTTTAAACAAAGTAACAAACCTTCCAGCGCCAGAGAAACAAACATCATCATAATTTGGGTCTGGGCCATGGATCCGTTTGAGAGATGGAATTTCCTTAATGATCTGCGATACCACATAATCATATGCAATTATAATAAGGAAGAAACATCAACATTTGTCTCTTTCAATTTCTATTCTAAGCTCAATAAGCACAATCTTTTGTCGAAGGTCATCCATAAGGCATGACAGGAATAATAACATAGCTCAAGCAACTCACTAACAGAATATAAGTTCTTAATGTCTTATGGATTATGATGCATGTGCTTGTATACTAGGATAGGGAATAACAGAAACAGAAAGCTCTTAATATCAATGCTTCAAAGAGAAAAAAAAAAACTTGTGGAAACTAAAGACTCGTGAAGAGAACAGAGCTGAGAGATGAACAAACATTTTTATATGACTCAAGATATCTTACCGCATCCTTAATGGCTATAAACGCTTCCTTGGGAAAATAAGCATATGTTGTTCCACTATCCAAGACGGTTCCATGCTTTCCATTAAAGACCTTTGGGTTTAGCTTTAGAGACTTTCCAGCAACATGCATTTGTTTCAGGTCAATGTTGTAATACGGACTGCAAACACCCGAAACTACAGTGATGTTGTAAGAAGCTCGAAATCTACTCTCAAATTATTCAGATACCAACTAAAAAGCAAATCTATGAAGTTACTCTACCTGCGGAAAGGATCTGAATGAGAAAACACCATTCCAGCCGGAGGAGATATTTTACCAAGTACCATAGCACCACCACCAACTTCCATTCCTCCATAACACAACGAAAAAACATCCTCGATAACACCCTTATCAACAAGCTGATCAACAACACTAAGCTTACCACGACCCAACCCCATTATACCATCCGCACGTTGGCTAAAAAGATCACCAGTTTCCACATTCTCACATCCGAAAACAGCTCGCTGCGGAGTAAGCTGACTCTCATTACCAAAAGATATCAAATCCTCACTTAAAACCCCACTACTCGAACTCATCTCAGCATACCGTCTTTCGTAAACACATAACTTCCCCTCATCATCACAATTACAATCAGGATTACATTTCAAAGCTTTGTAACTACTAGATAACTCAGGTTGAAACTTTGGATCCTGCAAACAGTAATAACAACAAACCCCTCAAGCAATGATATTACAAACCAAGCTTAATCACATAAACAAGCTTAATTCACCTGATGCTTCCCACACTGTTTACAAGTAGAGCAAGGAACGTAAGTAACAGTACTTCCAGTATCAACAATCAAAGCAAACTCTTGTGGTGGTGTTCCAATCCATAATCGTGTAGTGTAGTAGCTGCATAAAGATGATCAGGTCAAAACCTAGAAATTACACGAATCGACGAAGAGGTAATTTGATCGAGAAGACGAACCCGTTGGAGAGGAGGTCATCGTAGAGTTTCATGTGAGCGTTTGGGAGCTGAGATTGATGAAGACGACGACGGCGAAAATCCTCGACTCGCGGTGGTAAGGAGGAGTAACTAAGAGGGAAAATCATCGGCGATTCGGCTGTTAATTCGAGCTCATCGGCGGTGGTTAGATCGAAGAAGAATATAGAGACGGTGGTGATGAAGAGGAGGAGGAGGAGGAAGGAAGCTCGATCCATGGGTGGTGGATTGGATTTGATTGAAGAACGCCGGTGGCGACGGAGTCAACTCCACCGTAGCTCCGTCGTTGAAAAATGAGAAGAGAGAGAGAGAATGAAATTGTCTCTCGCGGTGGTTGTTTCATGATTCAATACTTTTTTTTTTGTGGGTAGAGCGACGAATAGTGTAATGCCACGTAGAAGTTTGAGCAAGTCTTGCGAAGTCAACGAATCATAACTCTTAAGGTCTTACCATGTCTGCGAAAAGGTATGTGAATTGGGAGACCAGGAAATTGATAAAACGGTGCGGATCAGACACATCAAACAAAAAAAAAGTATAGATTAACGGAAAAATCTGTATTATGAACGCAAATTACAGTATAACCTCTATAAATTAATATTCGATAAATTAATATCTTAATAAATCAATACATTTATTCGGTTTCAAATTTGGTTTTCGAAGTAATTAGTATATCGATAAATTAATAACTCGATAAATTAATAAAATATCATAGTCTCAACTGTATTAATCTATAGAAGTTTTAATAATGGATAAAGTATAATAAATGCAGATTAAGTGGTCTAAATTTTACTTTTAAAATGGCAGAATATTACAAAGAAAAGTTTGACCAAACAAGATAAGAAAATATTCATATAGAAGAAACAATTATAATTGTCTTTGAAAATACCAGTTTATTTCTAATAAAAACAATTATAGCAATATAGAAGAAACAATTACGATTGTCTTAGAAGTTAGAAAGCAAAGGAAATTAATCAACTTTAATAAATTACTAGATAACAACCCGCACATAGTGCGGGATGAAATGATTCAAATAAAATTATTATTATTAAAATTATTATCTGCCGTTTGTGTAAAATGAAACATGTAATAATTTTTTTTTGTTTTATGTAAATTTGAAACTATTTAGTATAAGAATACGTTTTACCCGTAAAATATTTGAACCTTGAATAAAGTTTCAACGTGATAAAGAAAATATTGACCAAATGTTACCATTTATGGCAATATGTCTTTCCGTATGTTATAAAGATTTCGAGATTTTATAGTATAAAAAAGAAAAATTTCTTTTTACTATAAAGATTTCGAGATTTTTAATATAAAGATTTATTAATATATGATAAACAAAATATGTATGTTTTTTAATTATTAAAATAGGTTACTAATATAAATAAATAAAGCTCTCATGATTTATTGTTATATATAAATATGAAGATTAGTTGCCTAATTATTTACTTTTTAATTATAATTTTGTTTTTTTTTATTTGTGTAATATATGTATGTATTAACTATTAAGACTAATGGCAAAATCTGTAAATAGTCTAGTAAAATTTGGGTAATAATTTAAATTGGTGAAAAATCATTCTGAAAGCGACATGTCAACATGGCAGTTTAGTTAATAACATGTCAAGGTAAGGGTTATTTTTTAGAGTGCTTCTCTATTAATATATAAGAGATTTAACAAAAAAAAATAAGATAATTAAAAAAAATCCTAAATCCATAACACTAAAAAGTCTTTTTATTATTTATTATTCCATTAAAACTGCCGTCCACTCCTTTTTTTTATTTTTCTTTTTGTTTTTTTCGTGATTTTTTTTTATTTTTTATAAGTTGGATTCATCGTGCCTACTATTTGTATTATTTTTCTTCCAACCTCTTTTTGTTAAGGTTCAAACCTTTTTTTTCTCGTTGATCGTCAAATAAATTATCAAGAAGAAAAAATATTTTAATAAAGATCATTGTGTAGATCTCTAATAAAAAAAAGAGAATATTGGTTTTGTAGAGAAGTCAGTTCATTTTGGTTCGCTAGTTTTTACAAGAGTTTGAAAAAGTATCTCACAAACTTTTAAAACTAAACAATAGTAATATTTGAATGGATATCTCAAATAGTTGATATAAGTATCTCTTCCACAAATAGTTGATATAATAGTCAAATGAGCAACTTTTAACTAGATTTCGAAACAATTAGATAATTAAAAAGATCGTAAATCCATAATGCTAAAAAGATTTTTTTTTTTACTCCGCCAAAACCGCTGTCCACTCCTCTTTATTCTTCTTCTTTTCGCCTCTTTCCTTATTTTTCTTTATTTTCACAATTTTTATTTGTCTTGTGAGGCGTTCAGAACCATGTTTCTTAAAGCCTATCTTTTTTTTTTTTTTTTCTAAACAAACTTATCTTTTATTTTCTTTTCTTTAGTTAATTTTTTTTTTAGTGTTTGTCGAATAAATTAACACGAAGAGAAAATACTTCAATAAAGATCATTGTGTGGATCTACGATTCTTCGATTTCTAAACATAAAATTTGAACTTTGCTTTTTAACAACATTACTCATAGATTCTCATTTCTTTACCCAAATGCGAACGTAACAACTAGGTGGGGAGGTAATGGGAAATTTAGAGATTCTCAGTTTAACAAATAAAATACAAATTTTGAAGGAAGGTTAGAGTATCTCAGATGGGAGTATGCAAACCAGATACTCTCTATAAAATAATAATAGTAAAAAAAGAGTTGGAGAGAGAAGTGAAACAGGTTTCTTCTTTAAGAATCTTTGAGATACAAACAAGAATCTCTCTTAATATTTGTCACTTTCTCATTGGTTTATTTTGTTTTAAAACAATATTTTAATTTTATAATTAAATTAAATCAAAATATTATTATTCTAGTGTTTAGATACCCACTAGATTTATTAACCTTTGAAGATGCTGTTAGTTTAATCTGAATTCAATAGTTTTTATAGAGGTTTAATAAAGAGCATCTTCATCCAAAATATTATATCACGATTATCTCACAAACTTTCAAAACTAAATAATAGTATTTTATTGATAAGGTATTTCAAATAGTTGAGAAGTCTCCCAAGTATCTTGAAATATCTTAAATGAGAATTTCTTGAGTATATTTATAAAATATTTGATATATAATTTAATAGAATATTATTATTTGGCGTTG